GATTAAGGGTTTTAATTTGTGTGAAAAGAAAAACTCCTACTTCTTTGGCTCGAAGGGGGTTGACTAGGGATTATATTCCTTATGACTCCACTATTTGAGATTTAAAACAACGCATGTACATCGTTAGGGGGGTCTATTCAAAAGCATACTGTGGAGATTATGGTATCATTTTCGTCATCCTCCCTCTAAGGCTTTGAGCTTTTAATCGAGAGTTGAATATCATGAAAAGGAAGTATAAAGCAACTTAAGCATAATGAAAACAAATTAATTCAAGACAAACATGTGTAATGCATTAATGAAATGATAAAGTTTGACATGACAATAATTGTTTGAATAAGCAAAGAAAATACAACTTGAGAATTCAAAGGAACCAAAATGCTTTCGATCCTAGCCATGTTTTGACAGGGGAGTAGTAATCACGTTAGGAGTCTCAGGAGGGTCGAATTTGATCTCCTTGGTGTCAATCATATTCTGAATCTTGTATTTCAGCGCCCAACAATCATTATTATCGTGCCCCGGCCTGTCAGAATGATAAGCACACCTTGCATCCGGATTGTAGTTAGGAGAGAAAGTCTTCAGGTTCGGATGAGGGTCTATCACCATGATCAAATTCACCTTCAACATGTGTTGAAATGCTTGTGACAGTTGCATGTTGATTCAGGTGAACTGCCTTTGAGATCTTTCTACCCTTGGATGATTGTTTCGTTGTTGAGTAGCTGTAGGCCTAGGTATCATCACAGCCCCTACCGTTGGACGGTGCTCAGCTCTGCTCTGACCTCTTGAGTTATACATGGCATTGAACTCCTTCTTACCCGTGAATGGCTTCTTTACAGTACTCGAAGAGGTGTCTTTCTGGATTTTTCCGCTCCAGATCCCAACTTCCACCCTTTCTCCAGTCAATATCAGCTCGGTGAAACCAGCTGAGGAGCTACCAATCCAGTGATTGAAGAACGGACCAGACAGTGTACCAAGAAACATGTCAACCAACTCCCTATCAGACAAAGGGGGTTGGACTCTCCCTTCCAGATCTCTCGATTTCTACGCATATTATTTGAAACCTTCGCTTGCACCCATGGACATACTCTGGAGTTGAGTACGGGTAGGGGAAAGGTTAGTGTTATACTAATACTGCTTGTAAAAAGCAGCAGCCAGATCCTCCCAGTTATGGACATTGGTTCCCTCCAGTTGGTAGAACTGTTCAAGTTGAGTCCCTGACAGACTATCTTGAAAGAAATGAACCCACAAATTTCTATCAGCGGTGTGAGGATGAATCTTCCTCACATAGGAACGAAGATGAAGTTTAGGACAAGACACCCCATCATACTTTGCAAATATCGGAGACTTGAACTTCTGTGGGATGACTACCCCAGATATCAAACCCAGCTCTTTAAAATCCAGTCCTGGTATTCCTTGGATCTCCATAGAACTCAAGCGATCTTCCAACTGCTTGTATCTATCCTAGGTGGGAGGATACTGCTCATCATTGTAGTCGGTATCATTGTCAGAAACTTTAGGACTGGGATCCTTCTCCCTTGTCTCTTCTTCTTGATTCTCCCATTCCTTGGATGAAGAGGTCAAATCGACTTGTTGCTTCAATGGCCCTCTAAACCATCTGCCCATATTCAGAATACCGGCAGCCTTCTTCTTTTTCTTTTAATCTTTCATGATGAGGGCTTTCAGATCCTCCTGCCCTTTTGCCAGATTTATGAACATTTGCTGGAACTGGGCGTTTTGTGCCTGAAGGTCCTTGATGCTTTGTTCGGAAGACATTTCTGCTAAAATAAACAGCGAAGAAGATGAGAAACCTGTAATGGTACCTGTACATGCAATTCTATGAATGGGATGCGTATGCAATGATTTCAAAGACTTTGGGAAATTTAAATTTGCGAACCAAAATGAGACAAATATTTTATTAGTTGAATTCAAATTTCAAATGCCTTTTAGGCGTTACAATTAAAAACAAATCTAAAACTAGAAAAAATCAAAATTCCCATGGATGCTTCCTCTTCGTGCCGAGATAAACATTGAGTCCTCTTTCCTCATGGAGCTGCTTTGTGAGCTCTAAAACCTTCCTCTCCTGGGCATAGAACTGATCTCTGTAAGTATCCCGCTCTTTCTTTAACTGAGTCCAAGACCTCTGTAATTCTCCAAGATCAGTGGGCATATCAGGATAGAGAACCGTGTAAGGAATACCCCCTTCAGTAGTGGGTTCAACAATCACTGGTAAAACGGCCATATAGGGCATCATATGTTTCTGGGCGCGAGCTCGTACCCATTGGAGGTAAGGTTCCGTAGGAATGGAAGCCTTAGGACCCAAAGCCTTGGCGCCAGGTCTATTTACCATGCCCCAAGCTCGTACGAACCTCTGGCGATACTCTTGAACGTCATCCTCATAGTTGAATACAATGCCTTTGATAAGTAACTCATGGGGACCATTGTAACATCCCAAATTCTACCCGGTAGTTATAACGAAAAATCAGAGTATTTAAAAATTTCCATCAAATTTGGGATATCATAATTCAACATGTTGCAACACGTAAACAGATACATAACACTTTAGTTTTGGAGGATCATATTACAACTTGCATCAGCTTTTAAAACAAAACCACTTCTTTTATTAATAACGCAGAAGAATCATAATTACAACTTGAAGTAGCATCATATGTTTCATTCAACTAAAACAACTTGAGAGGCAACACATTATTTCATATAATTAAACTTAGGATTCAACAACTAAAACAATTTCAACAAGTAAACAACTATTTGTTCACTTCCCCCCGAGTGCTACGTATCAGAGCGACCAACTGACTTTGAACTAATAAGCCTAAGAAAATCTTCATTCTTTAATACCTGCACGTTACCAACAGAGGGCAACATTCAAACAGTAAGGGGTGAGATATCGGACAATATAATAAGTCATATGATAAATAATATATTCGATCAGATCATATAAAATCACCATTTCTCAACTTGCAAACAACTTTAATCACAACAAAACATCAATATGACATATCTACTAAATTCACAGCTTTTAGATAATACTTGTCACAACAAGTCAACAACATAAAGCAACAACAAATATATCATCACCACAACTCAAGATACAACATCAAATGCGACTCAATTACAATGCACATGCATGTGGTACCATTGGATCAGAACTCCCAACTTAAAAATTTCCAATTAATAGAGGCATCAACAAGGCATAAGCCTTCACCTTAATATTTTTCCAATCCAGGCCAACATGGTGTCAATACAGGCCAACTCAATAATGCAAATGTATGTGACTCAATGAATGCAACAATCACAGACAACAACAATCACCGTCATAAAGGCATAAGCCTATATCGTTACTTTACCAATAATTAGAGGTACTCATCATCGCTTCAACACTAGCCATAGGCCTACAACTTAATCAACTTATCAATCACAGCATATTCAACAACAATAATGTATTTGGAAACATTGGCATAAGCCTACAACTTAGCATGTCACAATAATATTAGTAATTGGACAATAACATCAACAAGAAAACAACATTGGCTATAAGACTAACATTTTAATACCACCTGAAATTCATATTTTTCAGAAAAGTATTCAACACATTGATTCGACTAAAATATACAACAATTGTTTCGTATAAGTATTCAGACAAATCGACTAAATTCTGCTAATTAATCCTCTACTAAAATTGCTAGTATTTCTACTTTGTACTTCATAGTTTTAACAGCAACCACAACACAACGACTTATTTATACCCATATTATTATTACAAGTCCTATTAATACTACTTGCTGCCTGTCACCCATTTAATAAATTACTACTAGTCACTACATTAATCTTCTGCCAACTTACTCTACTAAATGATATCCACTAATCATGTACATATATTACAATGATTTGTTTCCAACAATATTATTAACACGATCCTACTATAATACTTCTACTAAATTATTCTACTAATAAGCCTTATTAATAGTTTTCGGCTAAATTAAGGAAACTATTATTTCTCTGCCACTTAAGTCATCTCTACTGCTAATATATTTTGATTACCAATTGCAACTAAAACCATAACAATTACTAATTCTGAAACATACTAATTATCTCTGCTATTTTATGTTAATCCATGAATTACTCTCTTATGTTACTAATAAATAACTTCTGGTACCATTCACCCTTTTCTAACTATGCTACATCAATTCTTTAATACAGTATAATATTAAAGTAACAGAAATTACAACGGCATGGTGCCACTCGACACACAGGTTGGTGCCCCTCGGCACAACAACCAGACCATCTCCATGCACCTAGTGCCGATCGGCACCCCCTCCTCACAACCATGCCGTTTGGCATTCTCTATTTCTTCACAACATGTCGTTCGACATGTAAGGCACTCACAATCCAGCCACGCATGCTTCACCAATTTACCCAGTTTTTCATTGATTTTTAATTACAACAACAAACAACTACACCAACGTCAACATGAAACAATTTTCAACAACGAATTTATCGATAGTAACCAATTTCATCAGAATATTAACAACAATCAACATACATATAACAACAGTTTTAACAACCCAAAACCCACATACTATTTGTCATGCAACTCAGTAGATAGTCAGAACCCCACTCTTACCTCAGATTGGAGATCTATCTACAATTTCCGATTGCACCTCGCTGCTGCCATAGCTCCAAACCTTTCTTTTATGGGTTTACAAACATACTATGGGTTTAAACATCTAGACAGGAGAAAAAGGATTCCCTAGAAATGGTTTTAAAACACTTGGAAAATGTAATATGTTTTTTTTTTTTGGAATTTCCAGCATTAGTAGTTCAAACTTCAGATTATCATTATTCCATTAATGTTATTTGTTACCTCCACATATACCAAGTCGGATCTGTTAGGCTGACCTTTCCTTTGCTTTAGATTTATCAGGTTGTATCTATGTTTTTCCTCGGTTTCATCTGCAATCCCATAAACTATCCTATTATTGAGGTTCTTACAGTGAAATGGAGTATCCCAGGTATTTAGAACTGCCAAAACTATTGAGCAATTCGCTCCTCACCCACCACTGAATCTTTAACAGACCATACGAGAGAAAGTTTAACCCTGTCTCTATGTCTGAGATACTTGGAACCAGAACACCTGGGGTATCTAGGACGTATATGCTCGGTTTGTTTGCTATCTTAAGTCCTGTAATATCTTGAGTAACACCGGGTAGTGGACCGACAGCAGCTCGCTTCATCTTCTCCTGCACAAGAAACCGCGAATGCGTAATATGATGAATGGAATTAATCAAACAAGATTTTCCAACATTGGGAACACCAACAACCATAACAAGTAAAGTAGGTTCCTTTGAAATCACTTCCTTCAACTTGACCTCCACAAGTTCCAAAAGCTTCATTACAGAACTCTTACTGCAAGCATTTATCGGAATGCAATCTTGCTTACTCATCTCAAAATAATTCACCCATTTATGCATGATGTTGGGAATTGCTAAGTCTTTTTTGTTGAGTGCGATGACGTGCCGTTTAGCGGAAAGGTGAGGTTGAAGATTGACATTGATGGAGGATAATGGAATACGAGTGTCTCTGACTATGATGACGAGGTCGGCGAGTTTAAGGCGGTTACAGATGACGCGTGTGGCAGCAACCATGTGTCCTGGGAACCAGTTGATAAGTCCTCTGCCGGTGTTGAAATCCATTTCTCCTAAACCTTTTTTCAGTAACCCCTTCAACGCCGCCATTTTTTTTATTCTCTCTTCTACTTGAGAAAAACCTAATTCCTTCTTATTCAACTTAACATATAATTTCTATTATTAATCCTATTGGGCCTAATATTCACACCACACCTTTTACTACCAACAACGCTTTAAATTAAGCCCATAAGAGATAATAATAGAATTATAATAATATTTTCTACCACTTAATCAACTCAATAATAATCCAATATAATAATATTATTTCTAATATTATTTCTCCGATTAAACCGACTATTTCACTTAACATCTCAAATCAACATATTATTCCAATCACGCCTCTTAAAATAATATTGACGGATCCTAGCTTCGACCCTTTCCAATAATTAAATCTTTAATTAATTTAATTAAATGATTAATTAAATTCGGGGCGTTACAACTCTCCTCCACTTAGGATATTTTCGTTCTCGAAAATCTACTCGATACTGCCACCCTTAACGCGAAGTTCACATCCAACTTTTTGACCTCCAAGTCGCGTTTGGCAACACTTCGATCACTACTTCACAAACATAACAATAACTCAACACAATTTAAATCGATTACACACATGCCAATCATTCAACACTTCGTGACATAATCGTTACTAGCATCTCAACTACTCCACCATAAAACCATTATTCACTTGACATTCTCAATCTTTCACATTTGCAACGTTAGCTCGCATATAACTCGCTACTCCGACTTGTTCCACGATATAGCATCAACCACTTTACACACCATTAAGATAGAACAACAAATCTATATCATCCAACATGGTCTCGTCTACTATCAACAATGGATTGAGGGTGATCAGTTCCTCAATTTGTCAATTAGTATTCGACAACCATAAGGGAGTATAAATCGTTGTACCAAACTATAATAGCGTTTCCTTAAAACTCGTATTCAAGTTTTCTAAAACAAAACATGTCTAATCCTCATTCACCCACCATCCCACGATGATCAAATCATTTTCCAACTCGAGAACTGTAAGCATATCAATACATTACAAATCCTTCCACTCTAGTCTGAGTCTTTATCTACATAAAGGATTCTAACAACATTCTTAAACGCTTAATCCTCTTCCGAATTTCACAACATTGAAAATACATGTATCTCCACCTCTCAAACTCATTCCAATCACACTCTCAACATTATCATCTTATCTAACAAAATTTCATATATATCTACACCTCAAACAACTATGATAGTAATCATCTAAGCTCAACAAGGTACTAACCTCTATAACAGACTTCGTTGTTCTCCAACTTAGAACTGCATCCACCTTGAATGGGTCTACATACACTTTCACTTAGAAATCAAATTACTCAAGATAACTCTTCTCCCAAAATTATAACATACCTCCTGACAACTTAGCATAAATCTTCCTCCTTTTCGACACCGTAAATTCCACACAACTTTGCACTATCGTATTTCGTTCTAATTAATAACACCAAAGCTTTCCAAATGATACCTTTTATTTCACAAATTACTTTAAATAAATCTTCCAATTTCTCCTTTAATTCACCCAACTCATACGCTGATGTCTCGTACAACACTGAAGAACAAGTTTAGTCCCAAAGACAAGCTTAACAACAAACTGCACTTACTTCCAATATCATCATGTTATAAATGAATTTGTTACAGTTACTGGAACCATTTTAAAATGAAACCCATTTCGTTAGCTTTCCAACGCTTCAATTGGAACTCAAATCGGATGCCCGAAACTCTAGTTATAAATTTTCGAAGTCCCACAACAATTCTGCAGTCTCCTGCGATTCGCTTACGGAAATTCCACTCCAAAACTCATTTGTCTTCAACTTAGACATATTCCAAACAACTCTTAACATATCTCGTGCTCCCAAACATCCTATAACTCGAGAGATGCATTCCTCCGCCAAAGTTCAGGTTCCAAAACACCAGGACAACAATTACTTCTGCAACGCTACTCACTTCTTCAAGTTTCGACTCAGACTCATGATCCACAACTACTTATCAATGTCAACTACTTCCGATAACCACTTATGTGATCCCAACATAAAAGTTACCTCAACTTTATTACTCCATCATTGTTCAAACATTGACATCTTACACTTGCTTTATAAATCAACAAATATTACATCGCTCTTCATTCTTTGAGAAGTAAGCACCAACAAAGTCTGATCAATATATCTCAAGGCGCTCTAACTCGACTAACAACAAGACCTTGAATCCAAGTCACCTTCAAATTTAGGAACAACAAGACTCCAACAATTCTTTCATTGTCGTCGTCGGCAACACACCGAACCAACACCTTTCAATTGAACATATCTGAGAAGCAAAGCTTCTCCCCCACTCATCTTCAACCAACTTCCTGCATACAACTCGATTAGAAAAATAACAAGCACCGACAATGTTTCACACACTTGTCGCTCACTAAGGGATAAACGAAATTAGACAACTTGATCGGACGGACCGACCAACTCTGATACCACTTATGTAACACCCCAAATTCTACCCGATAGTTATAACGAAAAATCAGAGTATTTAAAAATTTCCAACACATTTGGGATATCACAATTCAACATGTTGCAACACATAAAAAGATACATAACACTATCATATAACAACTTGCATCATCTTTTAAAACAAAACCATTTCTTTTATTAATAACCCAGCAGAATCATAATTACAACTTCAAGTAGCATCATATGTTTCATTCAACTAAAACAACTTGAGAGGCAACACATTATTTCATATAATTAAACTTAGGATTCATCAACTAAAACAATTTCAACAAGTAAATAACTATTTGTTCACTTCCCCCCGAGTGCTACGTATCAGAGCGACCAACCGAATTTGAACTAATAAGCCTAAGCAAATCATCATTCTTTAATACCTACACGTTACCAACAGAGGGCAACATTCAAACAGTAAGGGGTAAGATATCAGACAATATAATAAGTCATATGATAAATAATATATTAGATCAGATCATATAAAATCACCATTTCTCAACTTGCAAACAACTTTAATCACAACAAAACATCAATACGACATATCTACTAAATTCACAGCTTTTAGATAATACTTGTCACAACAAGTCAACAACATAAAGCAACAACAAATATATCATCACCACAGCTCAAGATACAACATCAAATGCGACTCAATTATAATTCACATGCATGTGGTACCATTGGAGCAGAACTCCCAACTTAAAAATTGCCAATTAATAGAGGCATCAACAAGGCATAAGCCTTTAACTTAATATTTTGCCAATCCAGGCCAACGTGGTGTCAATCCAGGCCAACTTAATAATGAAAATGTATGTGACTCAATGAATGCAACAATCACATACAACAGCAACAATCACCATCACAAAGGCATAAGCATATATCGTCACTTTACCAATAATTAGAGGTACTCATCATCACTTCAACACTGGCCATATGCCTACAACTTAATCAACTTATCAATCACAGTATATTCAATAACAATAATGTATTCGGAAACATTGGCATAACACTACAACTTAGTACGTCACAATAATATTAGTAATTGGACAACAACATCAACAAGAAAACAACATTGGCTATAAGCCTAACATTTTAATACCACATGAAATTCATATTTTTCCGAAAAGTATTCAACATATTGAGTCGACTAAAATATACAACAATTGTTCCGTATAGTTATTCGGACAAATCGACTAAATTCTGCTAATTAATCCTCTACTAAAATTGCTAGTATTTCTACTTTGCACTTCATAGTTTTAACAGCAACTACAATACAACGACTTATTTATACCTATATTATTATTACAAGTCCTATTAATACTACTTGTTGCCTGTCATCCATTTAATAAATTACTACTAGTCACTACATTAATCTTCTGCCAACTTACTCTACTAAATGATATCCACTAATCATGTACATATATTACTATGATTTGTTGCCAACAATATTATTAACACGATCCTACTATAATACTTCTACTAAATTATTCTGCTTATAAGCCTTATTAATAGTTTTTGGCTAAATTAAGGAAACTATTATTTCTCTGCCACTTAATCATCTCTACTGCTAATATATTTTGATTACCAATTGCAACTAAAACCATAACAATTACTAATTCTAAAACATACTAATTATCTCTGCTATTTTATGTCAATCCATGAATTACTCTCTTATGTTACTAATAAATAACTTCTGGTACCATTCACCCTTTTCTAACTATGCTACATCAATTATGTAATACAGTATAATATTTTAGTAACAGAATTTACAACGGCATGGTGCCACTCGGCACACAGGTTGGTGCCCCTCGGCACAACAACCAGACCATCTCCATGCACCTAGTTCCGATCGGCACCCCCTCCTCACAACCATGCCGTTCGGCATTCTCCACTTCTTCACAACATGTCGTTCGACATGTAAGGCACTCACAATCTAGCCACACATACTTCACCAATTTACCCAGTTTTTCATTGATTTTTAATTACAGCAACAAACAACTACACCAACGTCAACATGAAACAATTTTCAACAACAAATTTATCGATAGTAACCAATTTCATCAGAATATTCACAATAATCAACATACATATAACAACAATTTTAACAACCCAAATCCCACATACTATTTGTCATGCAACCCATTAGATAGTCAGAACCCCACCCTTACCTCGGATTGAAGATCGCTCTACAATTTCCGATTGCACCTCGCTGCCGCCATAGCTCCAAACCTTTCTTCTATGGGTTTACAAATATACTATGGGTTTAAACATCTAGACAGGAGAAAAAGGATTCCCTAGAAATGGGTTTAAAACACTTGGAAAATGTAAGATGTTTTTTTTTTGGAATTTCCAGCATTAGCAGTTCAAACTTCAGATTATCATTATTCCATTAATGCTATTTGTTACCTCCACATATACAAAGTCGGATTTGTTAGGCCGACCTTTACTTTGCTTTAGATTTTTCAGGTCGTATCTATGTTTTTCCTCGGTTTCATCTGCAATCCCATCAACTCT